GAAATATATTTATGTTTGTGGTTGTAATGTGACAAAATATGGAAAAGTTCAAGGGGTATGAATACTTTTGCAAACCACTGTATACCGGTAATCTGAGAAATTTCTGTAGTGAAGTTTGCTGTGAGGCACGCAGAGATCATAATTAGCTCAGGGCATGCTGATGTGGCTGCACCAGTGTTTATGTTAGGGACCCTCCGAGGCCCTGCTGATTTGGACAGGTGTGTCAGAAGGTTCTTTCTACACTCATCTCACTGATAAAGTTCATTTAAATCTTTAAAGCTCGACCCATTAATTGGAGTGCTTATATTCTGTTTTAATCACCAATTACTAATATTCAGTGGTGGGCACCAGATCGCTAAAGCACAAATCCGCTAATTGCGGACCTAAAAATTTCATTTGCGCTTTAGCTGTCTTACTAATTTTTATAATTCATAAGCGGATTCATGCTTTCAAAAATTAAAATGCAGTACCACTTATAACTAATTATCTACCAGTCATCATTATCTTGAACAGCAGAAGGTATGACTGTCAATGAATCACAACATGTGATTTATCCAACAACAACCCTCCCAGATAAACACACTTACTGTGAAGGTACACATCCTGCTGACTGTTGCTTTCGGCCACGGTTCTCATTTCCCACAATGCTTTGTGTTTGCTTACGTAGCAGGAAGGCAATATCAAAAACAGTTAACRTTTGTAATCCATACTAAAATTTTGTATGTATTGATTTATTTTACTTTACAATCAGAGCTCCTTTTTAAAAAAAAAAAGTTTAAACGCTGGAGCTCAATACTTGACGTAATTGGTCGAAGCAACGAGTTTAGAGACTCAGAAATGATTTAAATATGTTCTACTGATAAAGACTGACATCTAGTGGCCAACTGGAGCAACTACACGAAAAACTTTAAAATCCAAGCTCTTATTTTGAAGGGAAGATAGTTTCCTGAACTTCGTGCTTTCGTTTCCCGTCACAAATCAAATTTGTCATGTACCCAGAATGCATCACTTCGGTTTTCCAATAAACAGTTTTAAAATTACTTTATTGATGCTTCTTTAATGAAAAATCTACAACAAACAAAAGAAAAAGATGAAGAAGCAGCCGAACTAGCAATCCTCAACAACTTTTTAAGTTTTACACCAGAAGCCAAAGGTCTGTTTCATGAAATCACATCCCCAGCAATCTGCGGTTGTAGAATTAAGCTGTTAAAGAGTTCATTCACCACTAGTTGGCAGTGTTGTACATATATTGTACATGAATTGTTGCCAGCTAAGAAGTGTCAAATTGAACTTGTGCTTTAAAATTAGCTTCCGCTATTTTTTCTATGAAATAAGTGCTTTTGAAGTTGCGGACCTAAATATTTTCATAAGCGCTTTAGAAACTGCGGAGCTAATTTTTGGATTAGCGCTGCACACCACTGCCAATATTTGACAGTCAGGTTTCATATCTCACCCATTAGTTCCTCAAACAACAAACCAGCTCACCCCAGCTGCGCTGCAGATGAATCTGATGCACCAGCAGAGGAACCTATGCTGCTGTTGAGACCATTTTACTCTCATCAATCTTAGTTTATAGAAGTTTACATGGCATTTGAATAAACTGATCTTGATTCGTTTTTTGTTTAGGTCTTCATTGCTGATTTTGAGGGTATATTCAGTTTGTCTAAAAAACAAAAAGAATAGGGGAAAATCTTGCCAGATTTAAATAAATTTTGAAGAGACTGAAAGACTGAGCAAACTAGACATTTAGCCTCAGCCATATGGTATCAAACCTTTTTTGGGTTGTGTTTATGCTGACATAAAATTGACGAGAATAAATGATATTGTTAAGTGGTTTAAATCACTCTGACCTCACCTGTACACTATCCTCTCACGGTGCAGATCCTCAAGGCCGCAGCAGATCTCCGCAGCGTAGAAAATGGCCCTTTGCTCGTCAAAGCCAGAGTTTCCCATGTTGTAGATGTGGAACTTCAAGTCGCCACCGTTCATTAGTGTCAACACCAGGCACAGCGCATCCTTGGTCTCATACGCATACGCTAGACTAACCTGAGGAGAAAGGCAGATTTTGGGGGGTGGAAGTATCAACGAGGCTTAGAGGGAAACCAAACGAGGGGGAAAAATGTTGTTGCATCAACAGAGGAAGAAACAGGAAATAGATGTTTCAGTGAAGGGAGCTCGTTCCAAACCCCCAAAATATCATCTTTTATCCCAGATGGAATGTCAAGAACGTAAACAAAGTTAAATGAGGAGAAATATATACTGTGGCTTTCTAAGAACTGGCTTGTTTTGCTCCTGCCCCGCCATCAATCTCGCTCGTCTCCCTCCTTTCCCATCAGCCTTCCTCCTCTCCCCCTCTCCTCTCCCCCCCCCGGGGGGTCAGTGACACACAGGGTGTAGTGTATACATGTGCTGTTGTGTGTAAGCAGGATGTTGCTGCCAACAGGAGGAATCCCATCTGCTGTGAAGCGTGCGCACACAGAAACCACAAGAAAGGACAGAAAATCTTCAACAACACGCAGATCTACCCACTGCCTTTAAACAAACATAAAACACAGCTTTTTTAGTTGTGTACTTGTTACTGCAACAACTAAAACCCTGAAATCCATGATTTTCTACAAAAAACATTTCTATTTGCTCATTTTTGATCGTTCTTCCAATGTCTATTAGTAGACTTAACATAATTTCATTCGTTCTTGTGGATATTTATCTAAACAAACAGCTATTTTAATGCATTCAGTTGTTTTTAATAATTACTTGCCATGGATATATACATTTTTTATTTTGTATGCATTTTGGCAAAGTTATTTTAGCTTTTAGATGCTGTATATTTTAGCACTAATACGCAGAGGATTCATTTAAAAGACTGTACAAAAATGACAAAAATCTAAAAAAAAGTATGACTTGTTAATATCTTCAAATATCTTATCCTTCAGTAAAACTGAAGTAAAAACTGATATTATTATTTTTTTTACTTTTACTGAAACTTACTGCATGAACTTGTCAAGTTTAAAGCTACTGTTTACATTTATAAGAAAATGTATTTTGATAATAAAATGAAATAAACAGCAGCAGAGGGGAATAGAAGAAGGGACATACAATTTTCAGAAAACAAATTAGCAGATTAAATCATCTGTAATGCAATGGTTGGAATTTACTAGGGATGTCGGATCTCTACATATCGGTATCGCTTTTTCTTCTGATAACAAAGCCCGATAAATTAATGCCTGGATTTGACCAAAATGTGTTAATAAATGTTTGTGGTCCAGAGACGTTCACCAGTGTGCGATTGATGACATCATCAAACTGGATTATCTCGGTGAGAGCATGATCCAAACTATTGTTTGAGACAAAATGTTAAAAATAAATATGGCACTTTCTCCATAACTTCAGTTAAATGGTTTTCAGTTTGTACAGACAATGTTTCCCTATGGAATGCATCTAGTGGGGTACTACAGTAAAAGCAGGCAGAGTGTCCCTGACAGGACATATCTGATGTCACCTTAATATTGGTTTGTAATATTAGTTAATATCGCTTAATATTGGAATCAGAAATTAAGCATTGAACAATATCGGCATATCGAATATCGACAAAAAGTTAATATCAAGCATCTCTAGAATTTACTAAACCAGCTGATAAAATAAAATAAAATAAACACTACTTAATCATAAAGTACATCCTGTGTAGCAGGACGCTAAGTTTGAAATATCAGCACTGTGACAACGTGACTACTGTACGGCCATAAGTGTAAAAAAAATGATAATGAGTCAAATTTGCATCGAAGTGATGTAGCTCTACCTCATTTTCACTCTCTGGAGGTTTCAGCACTGGGTCACCCTGCTCTGTGTTTGAAATGCTCGTGTAC